CTGTCTTGATTCCTGGATCCGAGTATCCTGGGACCAATTTAAAATGCATTTCCTGGACCATAAATCCGCAGGCAGAGCCCGCGTTCCCAGCTCTCCCGGAGCGCATGTGGCAAATGGCAGCAGCCAGTGCTGCAGAAGGGACACTGCACAGGGTCCAGGCTAATTGGGGTGCAGGCGGGTGACTCGAGCTGCGTTGAGCCAGGAATTGCAAACCAGGCAGTGGAGCCTGAGATTTAGCACCGCAGAAGGGGTGCAGTTGAAACCTCCAAGTAGCCAGGGGCTCTGCCCAGCCTTATCTTGCTCACATTGTTCCCACCTTTAGGTAAACAGGCCCTCACTGGAAGACTAGCCCTCCTCCGACCCCCAAAGTTGAAGCTCTGACTTCTTGTCTTGCCCTGGGTACCCAAGCCCCCTCCCTAAAGTGCCACCAGCCTGGAGGGCAGTCACCTCTTCATGCACCCCCTGGGGAGGGTTGTTCAGGGAGCTTTCAGTTTAGCTTTGTGATTTGTAGTTACAAAGATTCAAAGCACCTGTCTTCCTGTGCTTCTCTGAATGCCTGGGGGGTGGAATTGTTGGATGGAGCGAATCCTGGACATAGACGTTGCTCTTCAGAACACTTGGAGAATTTCCTTCTAACCCTGCAGTGCACCTGCACTTGTGACTCTCTACTTACTGGTCAGCACTTGGTATTATCGGACTTCCTATTAGGTTTCCATTTATTTTATTTTGTCAATCTAAATGGGTATGAAATAGCATCTCAAGGCTGTTTGGTAAAAATGAAAAATTACATATAGTAAATATGTAGACAAAAGGGCTGCAGATTTTCCTTACAAGATTCAGGTTCAAATCCTGCTTCCAGGGTTGGCCAATTGTGTGACTCTGGGCAGTCATTTAATATCTGTGAGCTCAGTTTTCTCATTGGTAAGATGGGCATAATGGTAGTTTCCATAAAGTTGCTGTGAGAATTCAAGTAGCTGGGTCCCCAGCTCATGGTAAGCACTGAAGAAAGAGGAAATTATGTTGTTATTAGGAAACCAGCCCCCCAGCAAAGGTCATGGGTTCCTACATGGGACCCCTAGCTTTCAGCCTGCTCCTCCCAAACACTGTTGACATCAAATCACTGTTTCTCTTGCACACTCTGCACTTCCTTCCATTTTATATCCAACCTGGTTTTTTGCTGATTCAGCAGCCCTTCCTCACAGGAGCAGTGGATTGCAACTGAGATCTTATTGGAAAGTGGTGATTGGTTCCAAGCACCTGGTTAGCACCTTCTACCTCTAAGTAATACATACCTTCCCCCCAGCTGACCCTCCCTCTTCTCCTGTGCATGGTCGGATCGGCTCCAGCAGTGACAGACTCTACTGTCTGAAATGCAGATATTAGAGGCATTCGTTTTGTGCAATTTGGAAATGAATCTGCCATAAAATGGGGCTGGAGGTATTGATTTCATTTTGAAGGAAACTCTCCAAGGCTGTAAACATAGTACCACCCAGCAATTTCAAAACAAAAACCAGGGAGAAAACCAAGAAACTATACCACCATGCGGAATTTCATGGCTGTGTGCATCAGGCTCTGGGATGAATACCGCATATTAGTATCCCAAGGGCACTCCTTGGGGGACCTGGGCTTATATACGCTCTTTTCATAAAGACCAACTTGGAGCCTACCTAAGTGAAGTGTCTGGCCAAGGGGAAGATAATTACCCAGCAGGATTCCAGCCCAGGCGGTCTGGCTTTCCAGCCTGTAACCTTTCTTGCCTCTAGGCATTATATTGCCATTTCCTTCTCCCCCTTCCCATGACCATAACTGGGAAGTTTTCTGGTTTCCTTGTAGAGAAGACACCCTCCTTTTATCTCCACAGAAGCTTGTTTGTTTCCTTCAGAGAACTAAGCTACAATCTACAGTTACCTGTCTTGTCGGTGCCGGTGTTTACCCTGACTCTGCATCAAGATGTCCCATTCTGGGGACTCTTCTATAAAGTGACATGGACACTCCTCCTGCTGAGGGTTGGGTCAGCTGGTGAGGGTAGCAGAAGTGACACAATGTGACTTCAAGGGTCAGGGCATTGATGGTGACACAGCTTCTGCCTCATGGTCTCAGGATGCTAGAGCTTGGACCTGAGTCACCATGCTATAAGGAAGCCCAAGCAGCACATGGAGGGGCACACAAGGAGAGAAACAGGACCTCCAGCCCACACCCCTGGCTGGACTCCCAATCAGCCCAGCACATATTAGCAACCATGTGAGTACATCATCTTGAACTAGATCCTCCAGCTCTGGCGAACCACATGGAGCACAGACCCCACCCATGGAGCTTTCCCCACCATGTCTTATCATAATTTCAATTCCTGAACAAAATTAGTGATTGTTGTTATGTTAAGCTAGGGGTCATACGAACTACAGCTCAGGGGCCAAATCGGGCCCACGGCCTGTTTTTATAAGTAAAGTTTTATTAGAACACAGCCGCCCCCATTCACTTACATATGCCTATGGCTGCTGTCCCACAACAATGGCAGAGTTGAGTCATTACAACAGAGACCATATGGCCCATAAGCCTAAAATATTTAACATCTTGTTCTTTACAGAAAGAGTTTGCCAAGCTCTGTGTAGTGTTAGTCTCATCGGGCTGCCATAACAGAAAAACATAAAGGGGGGGTTATTTTCTCACAGCTCTGGAGGCTGGAGTCTGAAATCAGGGTGTAATAGGGTTGGGTTCTGGTGAGGACCCTCTTCCTGTCTT